TTTTAAAAAATTTAAAAAAAAAAAAAAAAAAAAAAAAAAATCAGCCGCACCAGTTAAAAAGGCAGGTACTACCCACCCCACACATCGTCAGCTCTATTCCACAGTAAGTGAAAGCTAAACTGGGGTGCTTTAATCTCAATGCAATTTTGGTAACTTCCAGTTACCAGAGTGGGTCAGACCAAAACACCTATAACAGAATAGTTTGATATGCTAAAGTCCTAACTTTGTAAGTGGGTAACTATTTGTCTATATCCCAAGGAAAGTGGAATAAGTAAACGCTGATTTCTCAAACAATGACATATTTGTATAATGCAGTTATTCCTACATAGTGTCTTCTGTCAACTGGAAAAATTTTGTCAAGTCAAGCATCCACTACAGCAGTTTGAGCTAGTGGTTCATCAGTTTCTGTTGTCTAGCAAATATCCTGTTCAACTTTGAACATGTGCAAGTTGCAAAGCTTCTTTACACACTGTATCAGATATCCATTTAGATCACTTTGTTCTAAAGTTACTTTAAATATTTAAGCCATGTGTGAGAGAGGACATGCATCTTTAAGTGGAGTTGGAGTATATGAAGTTTCTCAATCTCACCCTCATGATGTGGAAATCAGTTTAAAAAACAACTTAGGCAACTGAAACTAGGTATACCACTATAAAAGAACGTGTCTGATATCAAATATCGCTCTAATATTCTTGTAGCCAAAGAGAATGACTAGCTAGTTAACAGATTAAATATCATACCATCAGACAGCTGGAACTGCATTTAAGTCCTGGACAATCAATGTTATGTTTTAAAGTGACAGAATTATTATTACTGAAGTTTCATGAGCTTGGCTTCAACCCAAATGGCTGGACACCTTAAATTACCCCCAAACATTATTAGGCCTTCCAAGAATTGTAGCATCCCTAGTCCCAGGCAGCTGCTACACCAGCTATAGTGTAAATTAAGAACTGGAATCCCCAAGTCCTAGTGCCCAGAGAGAGTCCTAGTGACACTTGCTCCTGTTGCCTTTAACAAAACAAAAACTATACCGTTCTATCACTATTACCATCAAGAGCAACTTTCCTTTTTGAGGGAGGCTGTTATTAATTATAGACTTGGCAAAGAAATTTAGGAGAAACCATAACACAGCAAACATAAAATAGATAAATGTCAAACTGAAGCAGTGTGGATATTCAGAATCTATTTAATAGTGGGACACTACTACAGTTTTCTAGAGCACATTAGATTTTGATTTAAGCAGCTGCAACTGGTGTAGGAATTTCTGAAAAAAATAATTTGGTCTCCTATATTCTACAGTCTATACTTTACTGCATCAGTCTAATAAGTCATCTCAAACATGTAATACCAGGTTTGTGCTAGCTGGCCTAATCTTTTGCTGAGCACTTCATTCTTCTAAAATGCAGATAAAAATGTCAGTCAAAAGGAGGGGGGGAAGAATACCATAGGACTTCGACTTTAAGCTTTGTTGCAATGGGTACTAACAATTTTACACGGCTTATGAACGATTGCTGCAGTTTATTCAATACCAAAAAATCCTCATGCTGATACAATAAAATATTTTACAATGATCAATTTTTAATGCTTTATTCGTTGATTAAAAGAATATACATTTAACATAAACCATACAACATCAGTCATCAATTCAAGCATTCAGCTGGTTTCCTTACACTTTCTGTCAGGAGTTTTTTTTTTAATCTGATCACATTTATAAGATAAAATCTCACCACATCTGGCATATACACACACTGTGCCAGTGGATTCACTCTACTGATGTACATATAAAATCCGCATGGTATGTGCTCACTGGAGACAAAACAGCGCACACCTGTCAAAAGGTCATTTTAATATAAGATGGTAAAACCATTTGTAAAACACATATAAACTTTTTCCATAAATAGAATCATATCTGGACATCTGTTGCATAAATTGTGTTTTCCAAAGCTTACAATAGAGCAGCCAGGTCTCAGCACTGCTGGGCACCCACGTTGGCCACTTACTTTATTATTGCAGACTGTCCTTTAACATTAAATGCACAACATTCGTACCACTTAAAACTGGGGTCAGGTGGAAGTCTCACAGAGACCACGTCTGTACCGCGGTTGCCCTGAAACAGTTAATCGGCTTTTAAAGCCTCTCAGATATAACAAGATTTTAAAACATACTTCATGGAATGTTCTTCATGCATCATAGCAGCTCATACCTGTGATAGAACAAGCTTTGTATTCGCTTTCCTTTCCTTCCTTTACATTCACTATTCACAGTGAAACAGGTGCATGTTTGTTTAAGAGTTCTGAGGTTGCTGACTGAGCCACAGCACAGCTGTGTACCACAGGTCGAAATTCGACCTTATATATTACAATCTAGCAGTATCTGGCTGGCCAAGAGTTGGCCTGCCCCTGCCAGCATGTGGGCACTTCTTCGTTTTTAATCTATTCTTTGGCAGCTGACACAGGCGCTGACAGAGAAAATCCAGTGACTTAGTTGCTAGGGATTTCACGACTAATGTTTGTTTGCAAGCATGTACATTGAAATTTGTGTCTTCATTGTTATGGTTTTTACCCCATTGGAGCATATGTTCATTTTCCGTTGAAATCTGGGCCCAAAGCTAACTTGTATGGAGAAGCTGATAGACCATGAGAATGAGCTACGATGAGTTTACAAAGGATCAGATATCCTACAATTTATAGCCTGAGTCTACAAATTCAGGTGAGTTTCTGAAAAGCTACAGTGCTGTAGACTACTGTGTAATATCTGAGAAAAAGGGAGTGGGAGTAATTCATGCTTCAAAAACTGCATGTGAAATGAAAGTGAAAGTATACCATGAACTGGCATTGGGAAGTAGTATTTTCCTGTTTTTTTCTTAAGTTCATTAAGTAGCATGCTACCAGCTTATGCAACAACAATTGCACAAAAAAAATCCACCAGGCTATGGATATGGACATTAAGAAGAATTTGCTCCTGAGCACAGAACTCTGTCCTAAGAGTAAACTAATTCAAGATGCAGAGTTTAGTCAAAAAAAGAAAGGAAAAATAAAAGTTAGCCGGCAACCTCAGACAACTTTCGGCTGTCTCTCTAAGGTTTGGTCGACAAGTCCATTAACCGTGAAAGCCCTAAACATTGCCACTTTCAGCTTCTAAACCAATACCCGACTACGTTCTTTGATCAAGAAGTAGAATACACATATATAATTCTATATAGCTAATACTGATTAAACACAGCACAAAAGGGGTTAATTCACACTACTGAAAAACATAATAGGACCCTACTTGCATATGTAACCACAGGAACTGTAAATAAAAAAGAGCTAAATGCCTTCACTGAAGCTTTGCATCTCTCTATAAAAATGACGAGTTGGCTCAGTG